GCCAATATTTTGCAATAACTGTAAATGGAAAGTAACATTTAAAAATTGTGTAAAATATTTAAAAAATACAAAGAGGGGAAACACATTTGGGTATCATCAAGACTATTCCTCATGTCCTCCAGAAATGCATGGCACAGATGGAGAAATGTCAGAAAGGTCACTCACTTTGGCATTGCAAGGAAGGAAATGCTTTCAGTGAGGCATAAATCCACAGCCTTCATAATTTGGAGAACTAATTTACTCCATTGCCCCTATCAAATAGTTAGGGATGGTGCAATGCTCACTAATAAACACCTATGAGAAAAAAACAGGGACTACACTGATGCCATTGTTAGAAATCCTTATAAATTAGGCATTTTATGGCACATCACAATTTTTCTTCTAGCCATTGAGAGATATTTGGAGTTTGAGAAGTAGTTAGTGTGCAAGGCTGAGTGCCCAGAAGGTATTGCATCTACGGTATTCAAATGTCTACAGGCAGTGACAATGGATAAAGACATCCCCATTAATATATCACAACATGGGAAAGAGATACAGGTCTCTACATGAAAATTTGGTCTGCTGGCACATTACTTCATTCGTCCCTGAGCATTAATGAGTTAGCCTTTAAGTTGTTATCCCATAACCTCCATTTCAGCAAAGGCTGCAGTCGTGATGAACAAAATGGCTCATTTTACCCTGTGCGGTGTAATGCCCCAAGATAATGAAATTTGGGGGCAGCGTTCTTCAATACATGACGTGAGTCAGCCCATCATGCCATAACAGAAGCTCATAAACTGGTTCAAATATCACCTAATGTACCACAATTTAACTTGAAGAAAAAAATAGTTTCTCCTTTAAATGGCTACAAAATCTGCACAGCCAAGCAACAGAATTAAACGAATCTGCCCACAAGAGACATGTCTATAAAGTCTAGTTTTTAAACAATTTTCTTGCTTTAAAATCAATAGCTTTAGCCCGTAAAACGCATAACAACTTGGTATTTTCTATAAAAGCTGCTAATGAGCCAGCACCAAAGGAGACTGAAGCTGCTTTTGCCTTCCAGATGAGAGACTATGTGTGCATGTGTGTGAGCACATCCACACGTGTGCATGTATTGGGGAGTGGGAATGGAGTGTATGCAGGGGATATTATTAATTTACTATTGATTTTGTATTCCCAGGTCCTAACACAATGAAAAGCATATGACAGATATTTAATAAACATTTATTGAATAGAAAAAATAAATGCATAGAACCAAATCCAGTCTGATAAAAAATGAAACAGTATGGTACAAGGCAGCTGGCTGCCACATATATCTCAGGTACAAGTGTATGTTATTAGAACACTGAGTGGCACTTAGAGACTTTACTGACCACATAAAAACTAATTAAATAATTCCTTAATGTTTAAAGTAATTTATAGTTTATAATCAGAGTAAAAGGTTGAGTAAACAAAGTAACATGACAGATCATAAAATGAGAAATATATTCTTACTACCATCTTCTGTATTGGTCATTTATCCTTAATTCCTAGAATTCATATGTTTGGGGAAACAACTGGTATTTTAATTATGGGTAAGACTTTTTAATATGACTAAGAATGTATTTTAGATAAAAAGTTTATAACACGATATATCTCATAGTCAAGTTGATTCTTCCAACTCTTCCCAAAACATCTCAGTGGTGACTACAGGTCCCCCAACTCTCAGTATGAGTCAGTGAAAACACCCAATTGGGGATGGCTCTGCTTACTGCTTCAGCCATCTTGGACATCACAGCTGCTCAGTCCTTGAGCTTACTTTCCTCAGCATCTCAGGAGACCAGTCACAAAGACAGAAACTTTGCTATATTAATGATTCTGCCAATTACACAGAAAAGGCCAAGCCTGGAGGGGGAAGTGGGGAGGGAAGTATAACTTGGAGCTTAGTTCCAGAGGCTTTACTGTTGTGGGCACACAAACTTATCTGCGCTTGCCAAGGGAACATCTGGAGAAAAGCCCAACCACTGATGCTGAGCTGAAGCATTTTCAATGAGTACAGAAACAGAAAAGTGGCTGGTGGATATTTGTGACTTCTAGAGACATTCAAAGAATAAAGGTGGGTGGTAAAGGACAGGGGTGCTTGCAGATTAAACTTTGAATGTCCCACATATTCAGTCATTCCTAGTCAACTTTCTTCCACCTGGAGACGGCAGCTCTGGGTAGAATCTAGGAGACCTCGGTTCTATTCCTGACAATGTCACTAAGCATCTGGGTGTACTCTGGACTCTGTATGGCTAGCTTCTCTCCATTCAGATTCTAGCTCCTAATATCAACTCCTCAGGCAGGTTTTACCTTCCACTCTACCTAATGTTGCCTTTCCAAACTCTGAGTTCTCTCTATTCCGTTAGCTTGTTTGGTTTTCTTTATAATTTTATTATTCAAATATTATTTATGTATTTGTTTGTTGGTTGGTTGGTTGGCCATCTCTTCCTTTAGATTGTAAAGTCCATGAGAATACCCGTCGTGCCTATCACATTGCCTGGAACACACCAAGCATCCAATGAATATTAGTTGAGTGAATGAATGCATGCATGTCCAAGAACAAAGTACATAACTTTTTGTGGCTTCAATTCATCATCTATAAAGTTAAGAGAAACCATCTTGATTATTTCCAAGATTAGCATGATAACAGAGAAAGGATAGATTTGTAAATCCCTTAGGAAAAACTAACAATCTCTAATTGTATGACTCTATATTTAGAAAGGACAACATGGATACAACAATAGCATTAGAATATTGCAGAACCATATTTGAATGTAGATTCTGCCACTTAACAGCTATGAGATCTTGAGCAAGGCACTGAAATTCTCCAAGCCTCAGTTGCCTGGTTTGTAAGGTGGAAATGCTAATAATAGTAGTTACTTGCTAAGGGGTTAAGAAGATTAAGTAAAATGATTTATGTCAATCACCCAGCATAATGTGTGGCACTTACTAGGTACTTTATTAATGGTATTTATTAATATATTCAGGATAATATTTAAAATTTTAACAACCAGTACTATGTACTGTGGAAATTTCAGTTCCCAAAGATGGCCATAAAGGTGACTTTAACGGAACACCAGCCAAAAGCAGGCAGCCACAACTTTGGAGGGGCAGAAGGGCAACAAGCATTAACTTACAGGTTGCTGGAGGATAATCTAATTTTCTCTTCCAGGGTCTCCCTTGTAGCCCACAAGAACAGGGAGGCCAGTGTTGTGAAAGCCAAGGTGTGCTGGCAGGTGTCAGGGAAACACCCAGGGAGGAGGAGGCTCAAAAGCAGCAATTTAGCAATCGTCATAGAACTTTTTAAAAGTTGACAGCTATCCCAGTGCATGCTTTCTGAATATTTGCCCTGACTATATTTATCTTTACAAAGCATTTTCCTGGAGACTCTCCTTGGATCTTTGCAGTAATCTTGTAAGTACAGAAGAGCGAGTGTTATTATGCCCATTTTACAGGTGAAGATACTATGACCCAGAAAGGACTTACCAAATTCTATAGAGCAAAAAATAGTATGGAATCAGAACTCAAACCCAGATATTCTGACTCTAAATCCAATGATATAAATTCTCTGTGCAATGCTATAATTTGTCCTTCACTGTCTCAGCTCTTAACAGGAAAAACAATATTAAAATAAAGTACGGTTAGGCATTGTCAATCTTCCTGACTAAGAGAAAGGATAGAAATGGCCCTAAGCAGAATTCAACATTGTGATTTCTAAGCTGCTCCCTGTGTTCTGATAGGGATATGGATTCCATGTTTCTGAAAGAAGAGAGGTCAGAGGCTGTTACCTACTCCAAGTGGAAGGAATACTGTAGACCGGACACCTGGGTTCGAGTTCTGGCACTTCCATCAAATCCCGGGACAACTTTGGGCAAATTACTCCCTTTTTGATGTCCTGATTTCTGGATTTCTCCCTCTTGAAAACAGTATTAGATCTTGAAAACAGTATTAGATTAGAGTAGTAGTTCTCACCCTTTTTACTGCCTCAACACACTGGAGAATCACAACACAATGAGTAGTAACAGGAGCTAAGTTAGGGAAGGATTCTTAAGGAGGCAAATGGGAGAATCTAAAAGGGGCCTCTGTGTGGTTCGAACAGACAAACTAGGAAATTCCCAATCATTATAAAAGCTACCACATGCCTAGTGTCCACCAGACACTGTGCTAAGTGCTTTACATGAATTATTTCATCTTCACAGTAAATTAATGAAGTAGGAAAATTTTGGTACTGTCATATTAAAGGTGAGGAAACTGAAGCTCAGATAGGTTAACTAGCTTGTCTAAGGTCACACAGCTAGTAAGCCATAGTATTGGATTCTAACCCCCCTATAATTGATCCTGGAGCTTGCCCTCTTACCTCTATATTTTATTGTTTTATATTATATTCCCCCTCCACTCATCCCCTGCTGTCCCTCAAACACACAACTGATAATGAAAAAACTAGTAAGTTTGTAGAGTCCCTCCCATGTCTAAGATTTGTGTCCTTGACTTTATATTCAGGTTAAACTTTGGCTGAGGACAGGTTTGGTGCTGGGAAGAAAAAGTATGGAGAAGGAAGAAGAAAATTAGGATTCACTGAGTACCTGCTTTCTTCCCATGCCTTGCTAGATATTTTACATACACCTACTATCACCTTTAGTCCTTACAACCAGTCTTACAAGATTGGTATTTTATCCCTGTTTACAAAGAAGACTCGGAGAGGTTAAGACACTCCCCCGAGGTCACAGAGAAAATAAGTGGCAAAATTTGAGATTAAGAACCATTCTTCTGACTTCAAATTCCATTCTCATACCTTTAAACCTTGTATACAATAGGCTGGAGGGTAGCAAGAAATAAGTGAGCCAGGATCAAGTATTTGTCACAGTTGACACACACAACTGTGTGTGTCATGCCCTAGGTAGCCAGGACCAGATCCTACAGGTCTCTGTTTAAGGACTTGAGCTGTACACGTCTCCCTATTGTCATGCATATCCCTCCCGCAGACCTGCAGTGGCCCAATGGGAGCAGGCAATGCCAGTGAGTTGAGCGAATTCTTCCTTGTGGGCTTCACCAATGAGCTTCAGCTTCAGCCCGTCCTCCTTGCCCTCTTCTTCCTCATCTATGCAGTCACAGTAGTTGGAAACCTGGGCCTCCTTGTTCTCATTGTGGTGAGCTCCCGACTCCACACTCCCATGTATTTCTTCTTCAGCAACCTGTCCTTTATTGATTTATGTTATTCTTCCATTACCATCCCCAAAATGTTGATGGGGTTTTTCTCTGGTTGCCAAAACATCTCCTTCTCTGGTTGTGTGGTCCAGACAAGCTGCTTTGTGATCTTTGCTGTCACTGAGTTCTTCCTCTTGGCCTCCATGGCCTATGACCACTACGTGGCCATCTGCAGCCCTCTGCTCTACCATATCATCATATTTCCAAGGTTCTATTTGCAGCTAGTGGCTGCCAGCTATGCAGTGGGCCTAATGAACACAGTGCTCCTCACTAGCACAACCTTTCATCTGGCCTTCTGTAAGTCCCATGTCATCACTCATTACTTCTGTGGTATTTCTCCCCTTTAAAACTCTCCTGCTCTGACACACAGGTCCTTCGGCTCCTCCTGTTTGTTTGTGGTGGTTTTAATGTGTCTGTGTCCCTTACAGTAGTCCTGGTCTCCTACACATGTGTCTTCATGGCTATCATCAGAATCCCCTCAGCCCAGGGCAAACATAAGACATTCTCCACTTGTGCATCCCACCTGACTGATGTCAGTTTGTACTATGGAACCATGGTATTCATTTACTCGTGCCCAACCTCTGAGTACTTACTAGGCAGGGAAAGGCTGTTCTCTATATTTTACACAGTGGTCATCCCCATGCTCAACCCCATGATCTACAGTCTGAGGAACAAAGATGTGAAGGAAACATTTGGGAATGTTCTCAGGAAGACCTCACAATTCTTCCCCCTCCCCATACCCAGATTTCCATGATGTTCAATGCAATAAAGGAAGGACAGAGAAGGGAAGAAGAGGTAGGTGATGTGTTTTTGGCCACCAACCATGTCTCAAGCATTATTCTAGGCATTTTAAATAGGTTAGACCTTGAATCCTCTCCACAACTCTGGAAGTCAAATATTATTATTTTAATTTTACAGATGAGGAAACTGAGGCCCTGAGTGATTTGGAGATTTGTCCAAGGTCATATAGCTTGAATGCAGTGGAAACTAGATTTCAATTCAGGACTGCCTGACTCTGAAACTCCCTTTCTACTACATTACACTGTTTCTGCATAAGGCAAGATGCCGCCCTCTCTATTAACCTTCAGGGCCCAAGGTTTCCGAATTTTTTCACTTTCTGGTAAATCTGGTCTCTCAAATTTATATTAGCTTCTGTCCCCTAAGACCCACTCCCTTTCCCATAGCCAATTATTTATCTGTGGCTTTGTATTATGCCTCATCTTGTCATTAAATTAATGAACACGTTGTTTACAGAGCCCTATACCAGATGCAGGGGTGGAGAGGGATGACAAGGAAGAAATCTATGGTCACTAACTTTTGGCATCTTTCAATTAATTTATGGAAGACAGAAGATCCCACCCAAAAGGCAACTGAACTATGACTTTTCATTTAAATTGACATTTATTGAGTCCTTTCTATGTGATAAATGCCAAATCACTTACCTCATAATCCTCCTAAGAACTCTGTGATATAGGTACTATTGTTGCTCCCATTTTACAGATGAGAATACTATAGCTAAAAAGCATTAAGTAACTCACTCAAGGTAACACAGCTAATTAATGGTTAATACAGAGTTGAATCCGGGTCTCTTTGTCCAAAGAGCTTATTTCCTTTCCATTCTGTTATATCACTTCCTGGATTACTGGGGTGCCTATCAATAAGCACCAAGGGATATAAGCTGTGAGTCTGGGACTCAAGGCAAAGGAAGCAGAATGGATTGGGTTCATAAGAGAGCCTCTAGGAAGAGGTGGGTGGTTTGAATAAAATCTATGAAGAGTAAGAATGGATGAGTAGTAAAGGGAATGAGGGGATCTTGGAATCAGAGGCTGAGATAATAGAATCTAGATGCATAAAAGGCTGGTTTGGCTGGAACAGGGTAGAAGGCAAATTTAGAAGCAAAGGTTATTGACAAAATGGGGTGATGTTTGGGTAGGGCTGATATACCTTCTTTGTAGGTCTTGCTAACATCTAAACAATTCCTTAACTACCATACGTGAGGAAGTTCTAAATAGAGCTCTGATTTCCCTAAATTGACCCAAGATGGCTTTGAGTGGGTGAATACTTACAGTTGTGGTAAGAATCATATTTTATTGAGACCAAGACCTCCATAAAACTTTACTCTAGCTTTACTCTGTTCTCTGTCTACAGTCCACACTACTCAGATTGGCCAGACAACAAACAAATGTGAGGCTTTGGGCTTCCCTGGTGGCACAGAGATTGAGAGTCCACCTGCCAATGCAGGGGACGCGGGTTCGTGCCCCGGTCCGGGAAGATCCCACATGCCGCGGAGCGGCTGGGCCCGTGAGCCATGGCCACTGAGCCTGCGTGTCCAGAGCCTGTGCTCCGCAACGGGAGAGGCCACAACAGTAAGAGGCCCGCGTACCGCAAAAAAAAAAAAAAAAAATGTGAGGCCTTGATTACAAGAAGCTATCAGGGAATTACTTCCTGACTCAAAACTTGTCATCAAGTTAGGTTTGGGCAAGGTCTAAACAAGTGTGACCTAGTGTAGTCGCTTCAAGTCTAAAGGCAGCCAGACCTAGAGGAGGATCTTGTTTTCTGACACCTTCCTTATTGGGAATTCCTCTGCCCTAGAGCAGACTTTTCTCTATTTTATCATTTGCCTGGACTATTGCAGTAGCCTCCTAACTGGTCTCACTGCCTCCAGGCTTGCCCTGACCAATTTATCCTCCACACTGCTGCCTTATGATTATTCTAAGCAGAAGTCTGACTACATCCACTGTTCTACTTTAAACTCTTCAATGGCTTTTTATTGTCCTCAGAATAAAGTTCAGAATAAAGTCCAAATCCTTTAACTCACAGATCCTCCACAATCAGAATCTTACCTCTCAAACTTTATCTTTCACAACCCTTCTTCCCTTCCCCATACTTCATATCCTCCCCTTTGCACTTACTATTTTCTTCATTCAAAACACCCTCACTTTTCAGCAAAGATACTCCCCATATTTTTAATCAAGACCTTCCTGCTGAGCTGACCAAAAGTGTTCACCCCTTCCTTGGAACTTTAGAACCAATGATTACAGCATGCAATCATCCTATACTACCTTATTCTATTCCACTTTTCTTATACCCATATCTTGCTTCCTCTACTAGATTGTATGCCTTGTAGGGGAAGACCAAGGTGTCTCATACCTATCTAACCACCTCAGTGCCTGGAACCAAGTTGGCATTAATGAAATGTTGTTCATGGGAAGAATAAGAACTTTTCACTGGGCTTTGCCATAGGCATTAGTGTCTACTTCTTTTTTTTTTTTTTTTTTTTTCGGTACGCGGCCTCTCACTGCTGTGGCTTTTCCCGCCGCAGACCACAGGCTCCGGACGTGCAGGCCCAGCGGCCATGGCCCACGGGCCCAGCCGCTTTGCGGCATGCGGGACGCTCCCAGACCGGGGCACGAACCCTCGTCCCCTGCATCGGCAGGCGGACTCTCAACCACTGCGCTACCAGGGAAGCCCATTTGTGTCTACTTCTGAACCCTCTGAAAAGCCAGAGGGGTATTACTAATTCACCCCCTCCTTTCCTTTTTCAATAGTCTACCTCCCCTCCAGTATTTACTTCCCGTTTGACCTTTTCTTATGCCTCTGCCCGCGCCCCCCACCCCAGCATTATAACTCAGCATTTGCAAATACATTGCTTTCTATTGATTTGATGTGTGTGTGTTGTATTCCATCTAGATTACAGTTCTATGGGAAAATGGATGACATCTGTATTTGACTTTCCCAGTAATAGTGGGCTGTGCAAAGCAAGTGCCCATTGGGTGAACAAATACGTGCCTGTAGCTGAAGAGGGTTTATGTGGAGCTCAAAGCAGGTCAGAGTTAACTAGATATGAGTTTAAGAAGGGAATAGGGAGCTAGCATTTATTGTGAGCCTAGCAAATGCCAGACACTATGATAAATCCACAGATTATCTCATTTAATCCTCACAACAAACTGATTTAATTTTTTTTTTAATTAAGACTTTATTTTTTAGAGAAGTTTTAGGTACACAGAAGAATTCAAAGAAAAGTACAGACAGTTTTCATATATCCTCTGCCCCTACATATACATAGCCTCCCCCATTATTAACATTCCCCACCAGAGTGGTACATTTGTTTCAATTGAGGAACCTACATTGACACATCATAATCACCCAAAGTTCATAGTTTATATCAGGGTTCATCTTGGTGTTGTATATTCCATGGGTTCAACAACGTGATTTTATCCTGACTTTATTAGGAGTATCAGAGGATTTGTGGCTTGCTCAGTTACACATACACAGACAGTATGGGATAGAGTCAGAATTTTGAACTCAAGTCTGTATGATTTTCATGTTAAACTACTTTTCCAACCTTTATTAGAGTGATCATTTCACTTTTTAAAAATCCTAGGTTTGTGCTATATACATGTGGCATCAAGGCACTGAGAGATGAACACTGGAAACTGAGTCAGTAGCAACACATTTTCTTTAGATTGAGCCCTTGCTTAACACATCTGAGGCACAGAGGGAAGAAAGAAATAAAGATAAGGAAGAACGGGAGGAAAGAAAGAAGGAAGGAAGGGAGGGAGGGAGGGAAGAAGGGAATAAAGAAGGAAAGAAAATGTCCTGCCATCCCATTCATTTAGAAAGTGTAAGGGTGGGAGTGGAGGGTCACCACACCCTCTGGTCTGCTCTTAGGGCTTTCTCCTAAAACCAGACCCAGGTAGGAGAAGGAGAGATTTCCCAAAAATCACTTCAGCCTCTTGCTCAGATACCTGAGAAAACACCAATTCTCATAGGAAAACTGCCAAAACTTCTTTAGAAACATATTTTAAGAAAGGGACCCTTGGGAGTGTCTAGAATCTTTAAAGACTTTACCAGTAGCCATGTGTTCCTTCAAGAACTTCATGAGGTTCCAATGCACAGGAGCCCTGCTTAGCTGAAGGAAGGATACTGAGGTCTGGTCCCTACATTGCTCTATAATTGCTCACTCCACCCTGAGACCATTGTCCCTTTGGTGACTTGAAGAAAGTTCCCAAGAGATGCACATTCTAGAAGCAACTGCTTTTCCTTGTGAATGAGGTGACTCCTAATTGTCACTGGCCTTGCCTAGATAATACGACTTGATGAACATGATTTAGTATTCCTTGTTTGGGCTTCATTCTGAACAGTGTGCCTCACCCTCCAAAACCAAGTCCTCTTGAGAACTTATTGAGAGGGCAGGGCTTGGATTTACTAATATCAGTATTATGTAAAATAGTAATAACAACCAAGCAAGAGCACCTCTGGATGATTGAGTGCCTACAATCCCAGAACTTATTGTTTTACACACAATTTCTCATTGCATTTTACAGACAGAGAAACTGGGGCTCTGAGGGATGAAACAATTGGACAGAACAAGAGAAAAATGAACAGATCCTTATTACTAGAAGGGAAATTTTAACACACCATTCTCAGAAACTGATAAAGCAGATATGGAAGAATATATGATATTAAACAGCACAATTATGAAGTTTGAGTTAATACACAAACACACATACATATCAAGTCCTGGGCCCCCAAAATATAGGATACACATTATTTTCAGTCACATTTGAAAGATTTACAAAACTGTAACACAAGTATCAAAGCCAGTCTCAAATTCTAAATAAGCAATATCATATTAATAACATTCTCATAAAAATGCAATAAAATAGAAGTTAATAAAAAATACCCCCAAACCCCCATACATTTAGACAAAAATCCTTCTAAATGGAATAAAGAAAAATTTTAATTAAAATT